TCATGACCCATTCCGCCAGGGGTCTGGCCATGGACACATGGGCAGGGCCCACTCCCAGGCCTGGACTGAGGCTCCTCCCCTGTGGGCAGCTCAAGAAGCGCACACTGGCTGGGGCCCAGAGCCGGGGAGGGTGTGCTCCAGGAGTGCACCAGTAGCACACAGTTGGCGAGGCAAAGGTCCTGGGCTGAGGTGGAGTCTGTGTCCCAGGAGGGTCACACTGAAGATGGTGCTCTGTGGCTTCCAAATGCACTGATCTGATCCAACACTTTGGCAAGTGGGATGATCTATTCTCTTACTCTGAAACTGCCCTCAAGCGACCTGCATCCCATTCTTACATGCCTTCCTTACCTTTCCCGGCTACTTATGGGACATGGTTATGTAGACAGATGATAGAATTTAATTTTCCAGGGGTTTCTTTAAGGTATGGGGTAGAAAAGCCAAAGAGAAAAATCAATGAAATCAAAAGTCGGATCTTCAAAATGTTAAAAAGATTGACCAAAACAAAACAAAGAGAAATAAGACTTATATAACCAAATTAATAAATGAAAACAGGGCACATTGCCTCTGATCTCACAGAAATTTAAAAGATAAAAGAGACTACTAAAAATAATTGCATGCCAACAGATTAGACAATTTAGATGAAATAGACAAATTGGAGAAAGACACAAATTCCCAAATAGATTCAAAAGGAAATTAAAAGTTTTAATAGCCTGAAACCACAAAATTAATAATAATAATTCAGTGATTTAAAATATTTCTACAAAGAAAAACCCAGACCCAAATGGCTTCACCAGTGAATTTTATCAAGTACTTAAAGAAAAAAAGTATTACTAAGTCTGGCATGATGTTGCACAGCTATAATACCAGTAACTCGATGGCTGAGTCAGGAGGATCCCAAGCTCAAAGCCAGCCTCAGCAACTTAGTGAGGCTCTGTCTCAAAATAAAAATAAATAAATAAATAGGCTGGGGGGAGTGGCTCAGTGGTTAAGTACCCCTGGGTTCAATCACTGGTACCAAAAAAGACACACACACACACACAAACACACACACACACACACACAAAGAAGAAGGAAAGAAAAAATATTACATTTTACAAATTCGTGCCCCAAATAAAGAGAACTCCTCCCAACTCATTCTCTGAGGCCAGCAATGCACTCACATAAAGACAGCAAAGGAAACCTGAGAAGCAGCACCTTCATGGTCATGCAAACAAAAATCCTCAACAAAATGTCAGTGAATTAAATCCAACAACACAGGTAAGAGGCTGAATAGGGACCAAAGATCTCAGGTCCTCATCCCTGCAACTGTAGATGACACCTGATTTGGCAAAAAGGTCTTCAGAGCTGTGATGAAATGCAGGATTATGAGCTGGGACGTTGTCCTGGAGTATGCAGGTGGGCCCTACATGTCATTACTCTTCTCTTATGAAAGGATCCAGAGGGAGATTCACTGGGGGACAGAGAAGGTGTTGAGAAACCAGCAGGCAGAGACGTTTCAAGAGTGGAGTGACTTGACTGCGGACAGCGTAATGTGGCCGCCGCCAGAGGCTGGGAGAAGCAAAGGATGGCCTCTCTCCAGATCCCCAGTGAGACGGAGGCCCCGGACACTTTGATCTGAGCCCAGGGAGAGTGATGTTGGACTTCTGGCCTCCAGAACGGGAGAGAATAC